CTATTTAAATATGCTCTGCTCTGTACAGAGCACATTGAACTCCCATTCTTGGGACTAGTACAAGCATTATAACAGAGACTGTTCCTCCAGGTTGTGCTGCTTAGTCATCTTTTTTTTCCCCTTCTGTCAGTGTTGATCATTAAGCAACGTATGTGGAAGAAAGGCCTCTGGCCAGCAGAAACGCTGCTTTTCTTTCTGTCATTCCTACTTTGCTGTAAGTTAAAATAGTAATATATAAGTTCCTGGCTAGTATGTATCATTCTCTTTCCAGAAGTATTTACTGAAGTAGTCAGCTGGTACACTGTTTCCCCAACAAGTACAAGCCCACTACAAGATTAGGTCATGGTAGTACTTAAAGGGCTTCTCCTTTTTCGTACATGTTTCTTTGGAAGGGGACAGTATTGTAAGTTCCTCTTCTACAATAAATATTGTGGCCCTATAAACGCATCTTTTGATGACTACATTACATGTGTATGGGTGGGTATCTCCTTGTCTTCTGTTGTTGTTTCCTTCTCTCTTTAACACAATGGTACTGTTCACTAAATTCTTTCTTATGGAATACAACCTCTAGAATTTCTGCTGTTGGAGAATTTGGAGTTGTAACAATAACCTATTTAAGGAATGATTAAGTAATTAATAAAAGTTATTCAGCATTAATTCAACATTTTTTATTTGTCTGTTTGTTAGTACTAGGCATTTTGACTAGAGTTAAACAGTCTTACTTCTGGATGAGGTTAAAAAAAAAGGAATGAATATGCAGCTTAGAGTGTATTAAGTTCTTCTGACATGAGTGCTATCATAGTATCAAAGTATCGCATAGCCCAAAAACATGCAGTCTGCCCTGCTGCTTATATTTGTGAAATCCTTAATATATGATACTGTACATTGAAAAGACATTCTCTTAAAGCCTCTAGGACTAGCATTAAAAAGGCATGTATAGGGTGCCAGTAATACAAATGGTTCTTTGGCGAAGTAGATTTTTCTTAAAAGTGAGATGGAAACCACAAGGCCTACTTGGTTTAAGAAAGGTATATATTTTTAAAGGTGCTGAGACTTTCAACATGTGTTTCTGATTATCCTTTCAGTAAGGCGCAAACAAGTATTTTCCCTAGAAGAGAAGCAAGTTTAAAGTAGCTACAATTACAAAATACTTCATGTATTGTGATTAATTGGAGAGACTTCTTACTTGGCCCCACTTTAGTAACTCAAATAATTGATATTTTTGTATGAAAAATGGTGCTATCCTTTCTCGATTGACACTTTATAAAGTGATCACTAATTTAGCTAAGGAAATCTTTTTTTTATGCTGTTCTGTACACACTTTGTTGTTCCACAACAGTTTCAGTTTATCCTTGAAGCAATTAAATTACTTTGAAATACCAAAAATATTAGTGCCTTCTGTTTCTGCCCCTCATGGTCCTTCTACCTCTGCCCCTGCTGTTCTCCACTAAGATAGAAAATTAAATGTCACTGTCACTTTTCTATTAATCATTTTAAAAAGGCAAAGTCTTTTTAAGTAATCATAATGCTATGGTATCTCCTTCTCTGTAATACCATTTAGTTTTCATTATTGAGAATTCTGTTGTAATTGTCTAAAAGCATTTTCTGTCCTGAGCAGGTGATGTCTGTAGGGAGAACCACACACAGACTTGATAAATATTTTCTAGTTTTGTCATTCGTGTGTGTGTATATGTGTTTACATACATTTATATGGGATTCTCAGGGGTTGGATATATTGACTCAATCCGTTCTTTTACCCTGAATGAAGGGGTGAGGGGGAGAGATACTTCAGCCCTGGAAGAAAATTACCAAGGTAAAATGGAACGTATTGAACTTGATTACTTTGAAGGAATCATGCACACTTACACTCTGCTGTGCATTTGCTTTTCCCTAGGTTTGGGACACTCTCACATGGCTGCTGAACAGAGATATTTTTCTACACTTTCATTTAATGGTTATGCCAGTTCCTTGGCCTGCTGCAGTTCAGGAAGGAGGTCTGAGAATTTGTGCTTCTCCACCTTCCTTTCCTGAAGCTGTGTGATAACTGCCCCTCGTATGAAAGAGAGTACTCTATCATTTTGGAAAGATTGGCTTTCCTTTTAGGGGTGGGAGAGGGGTTTCAGAAGGGGCTTTGGGTTTTTGTTGTTTTCCTTTTTGTAGTCCACCCATTTCGGTTTTGGAAAACATAGAGTGGCCTACCACTTTTTCCCTGTATGGCAAGGGACAAACAGCTTCTGTAGAACAGGCCAGTTCTGTACCTTCAACTGGAGAAAACTGAGAGAAATGGCAGGGAAAGGCTTGTAGGAGGAGGGCTGCTTTTGAGGCATGGGGTAGACTTGTCTTCATTCATGTATAAAACTGGGAATAGGATTGAAAGCATGACTGCCAAACTCTGAAAGCATGCTCACGCTTTCATTGTGTCTGGGTCTGAGGGGTGATTAGGAAAACTTAATTATTCAGCATTAATTATTTTTTCTTCCATGTTGTTTTGTCCATGGAAGTGAAATATACATTTATGAAGTTGACACTTCTGCAGTTGCAGTTACAGTTTGCAATCTATAATTGCCTCATATTGGTCAGGAATATCTAATTATGTGACTTTCAAAGTTCTAAGTTAACTTTCATGTTTCTTGAAATTGAAGAAAGCAGAATATCTCACACAGTTAATTGTCATAATTTCTTTATGTGTCCTAATTTAAGTAGAGTTTAGTGTGTTTTACTAGTGTATTTTACTTAACGTTCAGTATTTATAAGATTTTTATCTTTTAGGGATGAAAAAATGGTATGTGTCATCTGGTTAGTGAATGGTTTACTTGATTTTTTTCCTCTTCTGTACTAGTTTTAATTAAACAGGTAGAGCTTCCAAAATTAGAGATAAACTAGACCAATTTTTTTTTATTTACTGTCAAGTATCAGGTTCTGTTTGCTTTTTTCGGTAGTTACCTGCTGCCAATCACCAGCCATTTGTCCCCTAAAATGGTTATTTGTGAAAACATAGTACTTTAACTTTAGTTCTGAATGTGTTTGGCAAAGGGTGATGATGGTAATCTGCTTTTAAGTCTCTTCAGAGCAATGAAAGTGGCACACACTGTAGGGTGCATAGAATGTTTAAAACAAAAAAGAAAACCCCAACCAGACAAACCACCCTAAAACTTAAAAATATGCCAATGAAATATTGTTATTAAAGTGTGCAGAGAGAGCTGACGAGTGACGGGTTTGGAGTGGGTAATGAAACTTAAACTTCAAAGGGGTGGCACGGATTTTGTTGTTGTTGTTGTAAGTGTAAACCTGTGACAACGCTGAACTTCAGAATTGTTTTGAGCACTCTGGTCTTTGTACTTGGCTGATCAATGGGTACCAATGCTGAGTTAGTAATACGGAGGGGAGGAGCTCATACTTTGTTTTCCCAGTTAGTGCAAAGTGTTGCAGTAGTGGCTTCCTTGAGCTGTAAGCTAAACTACAAGATTTTGACAGTAACATACTGACATTGGTGTTGATGGGTCTTACTGGTATTTATATTTTTAAAGTTTTGAAAATATTATTAACTAGTATAGCTAATTAGGCATATAGGTATCTGCTGTTCTTAAAATATTAGGTTTTTTGGAGGGGGGAAAAGTTAATTGCTTTGTGTGTACAAGTATTATAACATACACCGTTGAGATAATTCAGTAGTGGAGTATAGCACAGCAGTATCTCTACTCTGAAGATGGAGGAACCTTAAAGCTTATCTTATCAAGCTAATTTGTATTCATACCTTTTTATATAGTTATTATTTTAGTATTATAGCAGTCTAAGGTTTTAATCTAAGATTATGAGAATGTGACAGTTCTATTTAGTTTTTTTGACAAAATAAGTGCTTTTCTTGCTGTGTTTTTGCTAACAATACACATATATTTGATATTTGTGCTAGCTCAAGAGATTTTTTTTTTTAATAGAAGTGTGCCAAAATTATCATACTGATATGCACATCACTTGAAACTTCCTTTTTTTTTTTTTTTTTTTTTTTTTTTTTTTTTTTTTTAAGTTCACTACTGGAAAAAATATGTTTCAAGTAGTTTAAATATAGAGTAGTATTCTGCACTTTGACCCCATACAAATAAACTTTTACCTTACTGGAATGACAGACTGCAGCCACCTGGTCTCTGCTCTTTGAAAAGGGCCTGTTCACATGGCTTTGACAGTGGGATCTGAGCCAGTGCGGGGGGAACTAGTAACTTTTCTTTCCTTCTCTTCAAGGAAATTTTCATGAAAAGGTTTTATTTAAACTGACTAAAGAGTAAATCTGTCTCAGGCAGAGCTAGCAATAGCCTCATAGCATTGTAGTGTTCAGGTGTGTGTTGGTGGAAGTTGATGGAACTTCCCTTTCACTTATAAGTGAGTTTTAAGAGAACAGTATGTCTACTAAGTATTCTTTATAAATTGGTCAGACTTACAGCTGCAAGTTTCCAGTACTCCCAGTCTGTTGGTAGCACAGTATTGATAGTGTAGCAAAAACTATCACACGCTTGTGTTTCTTTGCATTCATTTATCTTTTTGTGGGGTTGTTTGTACCAAGAGGGAGGATTAAAAGGTAGCATGAGGAATAAATGGTAGAGTTAAAAAAAAAAAAACCAAAAAAAAAAAAAAAAACCACCAACAACAAACCAAACAAACCCCTAAGATTGTTAGATAATAATAAGTGGTATGAATCCAGTAGCTATGGTTTGAAATGTGCAGTGTATTGATAAGAAGCATGTCTAAATTAGACTTAGAGTATTGCATCCAAAAGCCTTACTTTATACTGGCTTGAATCTCTGCGTGAAAATGTTATCTGTTCTTAGACTGAATCTTGAATACCACCCTTCATTTTGCTTGTGAACTAAAGAAATGTTTAAAAGGTGGTCTTGAAAGTCATGTTTTACAGAATATTCTGGATTGTGAGATAAATAGTAGACTTGTTTTGTCAGCTTGGGAAAGATCTGATCATCTTGTGCCAATGTGTTTTCTTGGCTTCATACTAGTTTTTGATGATGGTGATGAAAGGACCTTGAGACGAACTTCATTATGCTTGAAGGGAGAAAGGCACTTTGCAGAAAGTGAGGTAAGACAATGATGGACGTGCAGTGAAAACTAAGTAGTTAGTTTATTTTATAATACGAAAAAATTGCAAACTAATTTTGTTTTCTCTTTTTCCATGTAGACACTTGATCAACTGCCGCTAACCAATCCAGAGCACTTTGGAACTCCAGTTATTGGGAAGAAATCTAATAGAGGAAGAAGATCTTCTCTTCCTGTGTGAGTTTTGATAGTGCTCTGTTGCTTTCCTTTCCTTTAGTGTCCTTTGCTAAAACTGAAGTAGCACCATTGAAGCTGTAGTGGTCTGAATGCACTATCATGCAAGTTGTGTGCACAGCTTATGGACTTAAGTAATTCAGTTCATGCAGACATGTTCATATGTTAGCAGTATTACGAAATTGATGAGGTTTTTTGCTTGTAGTAGCAAAATGTTATGCTTCTTTCATATAATAGGAACTTGTGTCAGGAAATGTAGGATGTTTAACCTTCTTTGTACTGCACAAAGTAGGAAAAAAAGGTGCTTTTAAATTTCTGGGGTAGAGACCATTTCTCTTTGTTTCATGTCTGTGCACGATCAAATCCTGATTCAGGCCTCCAATTCCAACATGATGCTGTTGTAAAATACTACTACTTGGAAAGAATTTCTACAAAATTCCTCTTACTAAGTAAGTGCACTTAAATATTAAGTGTATTTCAAGCAATTTCAGCTCTTAAAATTCTGATTTTGTTTTTGAAGCTTTGCAGAACAGGAAGAAAGATGTGGTTGTAAGCTGTATTTGCTTTCAAATACTAACTTCAGAGGAAAACTTTAAAATATTGTGTGTTTTAATAATTTAGTACTGAAGATGAAAAGGAAGAAGAAAGTAGTGAAGAAGAGGATGAAGATAAAAGGCGCCTCAATGATGAATTGCTTGGGAAAGTTGTGAGTGTGACTTTTAATTCTGAGAAGGCAGACTGGTATCCAGCTTTGGTAAGTTGCTTAAGACATTAACACCTCTAGTGTCATACTACTAATATCTTTTTAGACAAGAGTGTCATCTGACTTGTTACATTGTTCATACAGCAGTTTTCCTGGATAGGATGGTTTGCAGACTTAACAACTTTTACAGCGAAGTTGCAAATACATTCAGGCTAAGCTCTGCTGCCCATATTTGCTAAAAATACAAACCCTCTACAGTATCTATGAAGAGTAGGAGAGCAAACATTAATGTTTATGTGTAGTTACAGTTTCATACCTCTTAAGTCTTTCAAAACTGCACATAAAATGATTGGTATGTAACAATATTTGTCTTCTAAAAATACGGTATGTTAGGACTTGCATCCCAGGCAATTTAAGAACACTAGATATATGAATTTTAATTGCAATGGAATTTTTATCTTTTTGTATTTAATGTTGTCTTTTTGCTTAGACTTTCAATTTTATGAAATACTAGTTTCTTTCATGCTTGTGTTTACATAAATGGCCAGTTACTCTAGCAGTAGGGGTTGGTTATTTTTATTTGACTGTCAGTATAGGATACTGCTGTTCATTGCCATTGCTGATAATAAATATATATTAAATAAATTCAAGTACAAGTAGACTCGTACTGTAGAGGTAGACACTTTGCAGATTCTTTTTATACACAGAAAAGTTCAGGGATGCATATTAAAAGTTGCTTTCTTTAATAAACTTTTTGGTATTGTCAGACAAGCTGAATATGCATCTTCTGTCATCCATCAGAGACGCGTTTGTTTAAAAAAAAAAGGCATTTTGAGCATTAAACAGGCAGGTTTAGTTCACTAATTTTTGCAGATTTTATTTATTTAACTGTATATTCTGTAGTCCTTTCGAGTTTTCAGGGTTAGCTGGAACAAGCTGAGCTGTTACAATCTTCTAACTTAGTTTAACATCTTATTTCCCTGCCTGAATCCAGGATCAAAAGGTAACTAACTACATAGGCTTCCCTTCCTTGAAAGAACACTATGGTGTAATGTAGGGTGAATAGTTGACACTGACTTATCCAGCTTTACGTATCTCAGTTTAAAGTGTGAAATGTGGTATTGTTGTACATGTTCTGATCATTGTATATCCCTTTCCTAACAGCAGATTTTAACTGAACATTGTTCTAACTAGGGAATTAAGTTACTGAAGGCCACGTACCTGTTCTGTTCTCTGCTACCTCAGAAACAGGAATGTCTTACCTTGATTTTGAGGGTAAAACTTCTGACTCATCTGAATGGGGTGGCACAGCTTCCACTGAGTCCTGGTAGATTCAGAAGTTCATCTGCATTTGACATTTTCTGTCTATATATGGTCTAGAGCAAAATGTAAACTTGTTCTGTTTGTGGTAATACAAATACTGCAAATGCGTTTTTATCACCTTTTTAGACTTGGAGATGATACTGCTGTGGAATGATGTGCTGGATTCCACACTGGCTTATACTATTCACAACTAAAAAAAAACCAGACAAAAACCTAGTTACCTCTCAGTTTGAATGCCAAAGATCAGAAGCTGGTGTAAAATAAGTGGGGCTGTGACTTTTTAAATAGATGCTTTAAACAGGTTTTGTGTGAAGAAGAGAAAAAAAGCAGAGTGAATAAACAGGACCCCATGATGTCACCCCAGTAGACTAGTTTTGAGTTTACAAATGAAATTGCAAACTTTTCTGGCTTGTATATAACAAATAAAGCTAATCGTTTGAGGTAAACTGCTTTTTGAAATTTGTCATTGTTGGCCTTAGTAATATAAATTGGAGTAGGTTTCTTTTCTTAGAACTGGAAACTATAATAGAAGAAACAGGAAAACAGTAGTTTTCCTGCTGTCCATCTTTCTTTCCTTTCAAGATCAGCTTTTTTTTTTTTTTGCTTAAAAAAAGTGTTTTATTTGAAACTTCAGGTTGTGTCTCCCAGCTGTAATGATGACGTCACAGTGAAAAAGGACCAGTGTTTAGTTCGATCCTTTGCAGATTCAAAATTGTAAGTAATAGCTTACTTTCATTAAATGCATAATGGGAGAATAATGCAAAACTAATTACATATTGCTTCTGAAGACATTGTTTCTTCCAAAAGGAAAGGGTACAATTTTGTGTATTATTGGCTGTACGCATTTGTCATTGATAGTCGATTTCCAGCTAACTACTTTTGTGCTTACTTGCCTGCCTTTACATTGTGTGTACTGTACTGATAAGAGTTCATTGGATTAATAGTTTCTGGTGTTTCTTCATTTTAAAAAAAAAATTAACAACGTTGAAAAACCAGGTGTTAACACTTTAGATGACTCCTGTTCTTTGAAGTGTGAGTTTTGGTTCTAATTATTTCCCTTAATGTCTTAATTATTATGTCTTTATGGGTGTCTGCTGTAGTAGTTTGGTTATCTGATTGACTCATTACCTCCAGTGCCCAGATGTCCATGGCTGTTTAAAAAGAAAAGTTTAAAAGTGTTTATCTATTTCTTTAAATAAAAAAGTGAGTGTAAAGTAACTGTTTAATTAAAATTTTTACAGAATCTGAACCAAGATTCATGCAAAAAAAAAGAAAGGTCCTGTTAGTCCGTCCCCCCTCCAAAAGTGGGAGGAGAGAGAGAGGGGCGGGGGGAAGAGAGAGACAGATGTGTGTCTTACTTAAGGAATAATATATTCAAAAGAATACAGAGACTGGTTTTTTTTTAAAGCTGTTTCCCTTTATTTCTCTTCATCCTTACTTCTAATACATGTCTCAACATACTGTAACTAAAAACTTCCTTTCCAAAGGCCAGCTGTCACCTCTCTTTCCCTCCTTCTTTCAAAGTGAACAATTTGTATTTTTTTAATAGCTGTGATTTTGAGCAGGGTACGAGTACTTGATTACTGAAATGTATTTCAAGTAACTGAAGACTTAATTCATTTTGGCCTTTTAATATGGACATGTATCATCAGCCTTTAGATAAGTCTGGTTCTTTATATGCTGAAGGTAGAATGTTATTGGAAAAGCATGCAGACTTGCTCTGTTTTACTTTTTTTTCCCCATAGTCTTATGGCTTTAACTTCAGAAAATGGCGGCCTCCAATTCCTGAGGTTTTACTCCAGTTTTTCTGAAATAATGAAAGAAGAAAAAAAATCTTTTATAATAACTCACTTGTAAGGCTTTCCTTGCAGGTTGGTTAGCATTTCTATTGTAGTAATTCAGTAACTGAATATTCAGTATAACTTTAGAACAGAGCAACTTCCATATATTTTGCTGTGAGAACACTTTTGTAATTTAAAAATAAAAATCAGCTATTTATCAATGCAGATATGTGAATTTGGCTTCACTGTTGTTCTGTGCTAGTAGAAATGCATTTTGAAAATAGAGGGCTTGTTTCTTTCATCTTAGCTAGATTGCTATTTTGGGTAGCAACTGTTGGTTGATGTGAATATTTTCAATTTAGAAAATGTTTTTTGCCTACGTAGAGTATTTTACCTTTGCAAATTTGTGCCGGTTAAACATTTAAAATAAGAGCTTTACAACCTTCTCTTAATTATTTAATAACAAGGGTTCTTTTAGTGTCTGAATTTCAAAGAAAGATTGGAAACTTACTCTGGGTTTGAATCTTTTATTAGGACCTACAATAACAAATGCCTTATGCATTTAGTTTTTAGAAAGGACCTTGAAAGTGAACAATAAATCTTGAAAATTTTAGAAATTGCTGTTTTTCTAAGTCAAATGCTTGCTTTACTGTGATTTAAAAATAATAACAGAACCTTATTCTTTTTCAGTTACTCAGTAGCAAGAAAAGACATTAAAGAACTAGATGTTCAAAACTTACCAAAATCTGAGTCCTCTCCTAAAAAAGGTAAATTAGAGTAAATTCTACGTCCTAAAGAAATCATCTTGTGCAATAGTACTTTTAACTTTTGCAGATAAATGATGGCCTGTTGATTTCTGATAATTGCTCTTGGATATTTTGCAAACAATTTTAAATGTGATGAATTAGAGAACCTTCGGATATAGCTGCCTTATTATTAAAATAGCAGCTAGTAGAAGTCTTGTTTATTTTATTTTAATTTCCTCTTTTCATTCAGTCCAGATGTGTGGAAAATGAACAGAATATTTTCAAGGTAGTGTATTTGAAATGTCATTGAACAACGGAACACATAGTTACCTCTCCTGTCACTAAAGTTTTGTGCTATTGCTCAAAACATTTTATCTTTACGTTAAAAATACCCAGACAGCAAGGTGTAAAGTTTATTAGAACAGCCTGCCTGTGATTAATGTTTGATTTAAAAGTATAATTACAGAACTTGATTTCTGGATGGATAGATGATGTAACTACAGTAATCCATGTTTTTAGTGAGCTTGTAAAAGGCCAGATTTTCACTTTAATGTAAATAATTCTTAAACTTTTAGAGTTGTTTCTCCCAGTTGGACCTCAAAACATGAAATTTGTTAAGGAGAAATATTTAAAATGTATTTATTAAAAATAATTTAAAAAACAAAAACAACCCTGCAACAAAAAACCCCACTCAACAACAATTCCTCTGGTTTGAGTAAAGGTGTGGAACAGCTTCTTAACAAATAAAGATTTAACATGATACTCACAAATGAGAGCTTGAGGTGGTTTAGATTGATTCATGTAATTCTTAATGATTTCTTGTACACTTTCTTCCTAATAACTATTTCACAGTACAAGAACTTTAGAACAGCCAAAAAAATGATTGGATGCCAAGTTTAAGATAAATTGAAGAAAGAGTTGGGGTTTTGGGTTTTTTTTTTTTTAATGCAGAACGTAATTGGGTTGTGACGTTCATTGCCATGAAGGAATATTGTTGAACCAAAGGTACTAATGGTTTCAAAAAAAGAGTTTAGACAGATTTCTGGAGGTTACTCTATCAGCAGCTATTAAAAACTGGTGCCTTTTCTTCTCCAGCAACACTGTGAATGATTCATTGCAATATGTCCCTCTTTTTGGTATTTTTCTGATTCATCTTGCTAGTCTTTTATTGTGACTGGGGGGCACGTTTTGGGGTTATCTGGGTTTGTTTTGCTTTGTTGTTTTCCCCCTTGGAGCACCTCTTCAAAGAGAAGCATATGAGGTATTCCCATTGTACAAGTGTGACTTCTCACTGTCCCATCTCTCCCATATTCATTGGTGTTATTTTTTCTGTTCGAAACATTAATGTAACATCTATGCAGTGCTCTTAAACAAAACATTTGCTTTTTTTTTTTTTTTTTCAATCTGAACTTTAAGACATGAAGATATTTTGAATCTAACTGGGATGGGTTTACTTCTTTAAATAGGTTTATTACAGTATTTGTCTCTTTCATACAGAAGAAAACAGTATGCAGTTGCGCAGAATATGTGTGGATATGTATAGGTGCTTTTCTTCAATACTGTTCGCATACATAGGCGTAAACCTTAGTAGTGTTCATGGAACTTATGCGTGGAAAACTACAGGATGCCTTGTGTGGGATGGTTGTTCTCAATTCTAAACTCCTTGAGTTGCCGATACTTGATTTTTAAAATTAGACAGTCTCAAAACATAAACTGTGTAAACTGAGTGTTTAAAGCTGAAGTATCTGTTTTATGACTTAATTCTATTTTTGGTTTAAGTTGGCATTGTGATTTACAAGAACGTGAAAAGGAAATTAAAAATGCTTTGTGACTGTGAATACTGCGGATGAGGTAAAAGCGGGGCGCTTTCTTCTGTAGGGCTACAGGAGGCAAGCATGTTTCTCAACACAAAGGGTGTTCCTCGGAACTGGAAAATGGACATAAGTGAAATTCTGGAGTCCTCTAGCAGTGATGAGGAAGATGGAGCTGCTGCAGAAACTGATGAAGAGGAGGAAAAAAGAGAAGAGAAAACTGAAGAAGTAGTCGTAAGTCTGGGCAATTTCAGTCATTCTTCAAAGATAATTTAATAACTTGCATGCCTGAAGATCCTGCACTTTCCAGCATTTTAGTCTCAGGCGTAGCTTACTCACTTCAACTTCTTTTCAGACCTATTCATCTTCCCTTTGCTACAGCCATCTTTATTGGGATTTGTGACCAGTGGCAGATTGCCACATGCTATCCAGTGCAGAAAGTGGAGACAAATCTCAGAAATTAAGAATTCGAGGCAGAGAAGAGTGATAGAAGGAATCTGGGTCCAAAGGAGAGACATGAACGGAAAATTGATGCTGAGCCTAATAGTAGTAATCCAACCTTAAATAGCAGTAACTTTGTATTTTTCTTTTGTACTTTATATGTAGGTTATATAAAGAGTAACTTCTTTCTGAAAACAGTAGTTTGATTAAAATAAAAACAAAAAAAAACAAACCGAAAAACTATTAAAGCAAAAGCAGTAGGCTGACTGAAAGTATGAGCTAATGCGCAGTGCCTGTTAAAGCTATTTGGTGCCTAAGAGACTATTTAAGAGCAGTGCAGGAGTTACCTTTGTAAGTGTTAGGTTTTCTTAACACCAGTTTTACAGGTTGGGAATTGCAGAATCATATGCTACGATGTGGATGGACTTTCTGTCCAGTATTTACAGTAAAATGTTTTTCTGCATTGAAATATTTTGAGTGGCTCCTTTTCCACAAAGATAGGCAGTTTCTTCGTGTCATCAAAGCGGCATTTACAGAATTTCCCTTTATTTCTGCTACCTGTTTTTAACCTTGATGCTATCTTTAGAAGCAGGGGGAGGAGGGGCTGTTTGGTTGTGGGATTTGTTTGTTTTCTTTTCCCCTCGTCGTGCGATTTTTCACCGTACGCTCGGAACCATTCCTTTGTATAGAAAAACGACGTGAAGTTTGTCTTCTGAGGAAGGTCAAACACCGTTTCCCTTTCGCTTCCCCTGTCAGCGTGCGGTTTTGTCAGCCCGAACACAGAATGGCCGTTCATACTTGGAGGCGGCCTACAGCGTTGCCACGGCAACCGAGTGTTGGTTGGCAGCGCGCATGCGCGGGGAGGGGGTGGGGGTGTGGTGGGGGGGAGCGGGCTCTGGAGCGGAGGCTTGGCCGCCGGCCAGGGGGGAGGCTTGCCAGATGCTTTGAAATGGGCTGTCTCTTTTCTTTGCCTTTCATGTAATGTCTGATTTTTCACAATTTTTTTTATTTAAAATTTTTTTTAATTTAATTTTTTTTTTTATTTAATTTTATTTTTTTTGTATGGAAGAGAATGTAAGTAATGCCGTATAACTGCGGATGCCGTGCAGGGAGGGAGAAAGCGAGCAAATATTTGGAAGTCAGGCTGAAATATGTCCAGGCAGTGGGCAGATTAGATAGAAAGGAAGTAAAACCATTTTACATTTGAAAGAATGCAGCTCCTAGGTAAGGATTCTGTGTTTTAATCTGTAATGTTAACATGGTTGTTAAGAATGCGGATTTGACTTGGATTTCTGATCTGGGAACTGTCTGGTGGAGCATGCAGCCAGAGTAGATCTTTCCAGGTAAAAAAAAGACAATAAGAATCTATTTTTAGGTGTTAATTTTATGCCTTGATAACAGTGTTCTGGAAAATGGAGTAGATGTCTGTGTGAGAATAATGGTATGATTAGATAAATATAAGGATAAATGTGTGCAGAATATAAAATCCTCTGGGTTTTTTCCTCTGTTTGCAGTGAAAAGGACTGAATAGGCCACATTTTGCAGGGTGTGAACTGTTGCAGTGTGTATTGGTCTGTTTGTATTAACGTTGGTTAAAATTGCAGAGTATCAGTCACTAAAAATCAAGGATTGCTATACTACTTTTCTAGTATCCATTTTAATACCATTTTTCATGTCTATTGCATAAAAGTGCTGTGTGTTTCAAACAAAGAAGGGGGAGGGGGGAGCTTGGTGGTTTAAAAAAAAAAAAAAAAGGGCATTACTGTAAAAGAAATAGAGGTTATTTTTAAAGAATAATCTAAATGTAGAGTAGTGAAGCAAAGATTCCAGACAGGTAGATGTGCTGGTAGGAGAAGCTGTAGAATCCATTATTTCCAGGTGACAAGCAGGCATGTAAAAATAAGGTGAGCATCTTCATGCTGAAGCTATGTAGCAGAGGATAGATATTAATCTTTTTAGTTTATGTCAGAGCAGAACTGTCATGCCGGCCCATTAAATCAAATTCCTGATTCAATTGTTGCAATACAATACATATTCTTATTTTAATTGTGGGCCATGCTGGATATTGCAATTAGCATTTAGGGAATTTATCATAATTTCTTTTTTCTTAGAAATGCGGTAATACTGGTTACAGAGAGAATCGACAAGTGAGTGATTTTTTTTTTTTGCCTTTATTTGACTACAGATGTTGAATTACTCAAATTTTGCATTTACATTTTGTAGAGTTTCTCCCTTTTTTAATCAAGGTCAAAAATAGCTTCTGTCCATCCTCTCCCAGAATGTTCTCAGTAGACCTTTTGTTTTAGAACTGCATATTGTTATATTACTAGAGATGGGAGGGAGATTTTTAAAATTATTTTTACCCCCGCCCCCCATCTCCTGAAATGCACAGCAGCTTTGCTGTCAAGGCCAGCCGTGATAGGCCTTCATTAAATCAATCAAATGGACATAGACCTACTTAATATATGATGAGAGGTTAAAGTCAGTCAGAAGAGTCTAATTCTGGGAATGGAAAGGATCCTGTTTATCTAAAGTAGGATCTTTTGTAATGATAATGGAGCAGAGAGATCTACTGTGGCTGGTATTAGTAGATCCTACCATTTTTCCAGTAGCTGGGTTAAAATCTGTAACTTTGTTTTGACAGAGACTGTCTTTTGAACTGTGCTGCCTTTCATGACATCTTAAAGAGTTAGGGTAGAATTGGTACAATAAGATTTCGAGGCTTTACATGGTTGTTCTTTGATGGCTTTTGTAAGTTAAGGAGTGGGAACCAATATGGTGGTGGTAAGATGCTAATCCTCCTCATCGGTGGTAACTGACTTGTGTGGTCCGGAGTTGACTACGAAGGGGGACAATATGGAAATTGCTTGTCACTGACTTTAACAGGGATTGTGTTAGATTGCTCAGCATGTTCAAGTTGTTGGATTTTTGGCAATAAATGCAATACATAGTGCAACTCAGGATTACTTTTCATTCACAATGTGAGGTTTGAATAACAGAACAGATATTGCTTGTGTCATAAAAAGTGAAAAAATATGGAGGTACTATAGAAAAAAATTATTTATCAAATGAAAATTTAAAGAATCACTCAATTGGTTTGAATCTAGATAAAAATCTGGATATTGCTTTTGGTTCTTATCCAGTTTTCAACATGTCAGTAGAAGAGAATTAACTGGGTTTTGAGGGTACATTTGGCAGTCAAAGAATGCACTGCAGCTAAAAGGAAAGAGAAAATCTAAACTCCAGTATCTCCACATAGAAATAGAAGCTTTTGGGACATTACCTGATTTTTATTAAAAATCAGATTATATATACTACTGTATTTGCTTGTATTTAAGCTGTTATGTCAGGGAAGAAATCATACCTATTTGTTTCTCAGGATTAAATAGTCAAATATTCTGTTTTACAAGAGAATGTGTAGGCAACATTTGGTTTTGCCTCTCAGTCTCCCTGTAGCTATTCTGATTCCAAAAGAATCAAGATTTGAACTTGCAGTTATTTGAAATATATTTTCAGTATGTGTTCTTAATAGATAAATTCACATAAGATCAGAGTGAAAGTAATGAATTTGTTCTTTAGAGTTTGAATTTTGTAAGTTTCAAAGCTGTATCTTTTTACAATATCAAGAGTGGGGAAAAAGGGATTTCTATCTTACCTGTAGCATGGGTTATAACACCATCTTTGAGAGACTCTTCCAACTTACCTACGTCACTTTAGTAGCAGTTCCTTGTTCTTTCACTTCCCTCACCCCACCCCCAATTGAACATGCAAAAAATGTTCAGAAAAAAATTCTAGCTAGCTGGTCTCCATGCCCCTCATTGAAGGAGTTGTAGCACCTCTACGTGTATGCTTAGAGGAATTTTCTCTTAGTCCTCATTTTGACAGTCACCTGAAGGATGTATGTGTAGTGTGTTAATAGTGTGCATTTATTTCAAGTTTTTAGGGTTCTTGCATCACAACAGTATCAAGAAACATTGGTCACAGTTGCTTTACATTGTTGAGCAGGGAAAATGCCAGAAGCATTTTCCAATGTACCTATTCTGCAAATAAGCAAGGATTTCAGTTCTCATGATAAGTCATTACCATATATTTTATTACCACTAAGTTCATAAAGGAAGGATGATTATATGAAATCTATGATGTGTTTTAGGAGGCTTGAGATTCCTACAAATGATCAGTAGTCATCTATTAAAATATTTACATTTTGCTTCAAAGTAGTTCTTGTTTCCCATGTAGTCTTTTCTCTAAGTGACTGTGGGAGACCAAATAAAATGATGCCCAAATCATCCATTTCTGTTGCAGCCTATGAGTATTTTAAGATAATGTTGAAAAAGCTGACTCTAAAAGTTAAATACAAGAGTACAGCAATTTCAAAGTTAATGAAGCATGGTATCCAGAAACAAGTAGTTTATTTACATCTACAAAAAACCCTAAGTCTAATACATAGAATAGCCTTTAAAAAAAATAGCTAATCATTGATTAGCTAATCATCCTTCTCATGCATGCATGCATTTGTAGGAGTTTTGGCTACTGTGAAGCATGGCCTGGATCATACCATGCTCAAATGTTCTTTACAAAGACTTTCTTGCTCGCAATTTTATGCTAACAGGCATTCTTAGAAAATTCCTCTAAGAGGAGCAAAGAAGTTGCAAACTGAGACGCAGCTCTAGAGTGAGTCATTGTTGAGGATGGTTCAATTCCTGGTTCTTGTTGGTAGAAATTAACATTTTAAGACCACTCATCTCCACATGGTGTAAAGCTGTTAACTTGTTGCAATCAGTTTAATTCTTTTCATTTCCTTAATTAGCGTTCAAACTTGGCATCAGAAAGCAAATGTGCAAGTGATGAAAATGCATTTAAGTACTCTGAAGCAACAAAATTACATTAATGCTAATTCTGGCAGCTTGTCTTGATCATATACCCTTCTGAACTCCAAATCCTCTACACATTGTTCTTCCTCTTAGCATGCATTTATTTCACAGTAGAGTTTATGGTATTGCCAGTCTGTTAATAACATAAAAGAAAGATCTGTCCCTGGTACCTTAGCCCTGTATTGATTGAGTATATGGTGTACATGCTTGTAAGTAGAGATTCATTCTTTGTTTTGTAAAAGAAGCTATTTCATCCTTTGTGCTCCCACTCAGCTCTACAGATTAGCATCCACAGAAGCTTTAACATCTTTCTGTAGACTAAAGTATGAGTCAGGAAAACAGAGCTATATTCTTGTTTAAAATCATGCTGAAGACAGAGGCAAAACTCACGGTGAATAAAGTGGCTTGAAACCAAATGAAGCAAAGCCACTTAAAAGTTTTCTACAAGTTTCTGTGGGTTTTATGTTTTGCTTATTTACTGGTTGTTATTATCAAAATAATTTTACAAAATACTTGAACACTGTTAGTGTTACTTGAAAGGCAATAAGAAATTAAGTTGGGAAAGGAGTATGTCCCTTACACAGAGATCCTATGTTTGTTGTTAATTTTATTGTTTTGCTGTTTACAATATTCTTTAACTGATGTGACCTGCTAGTCAGAAAGGAGGAAGCAAATCTCAAACCCATACAATTTCAACTTTTTAATTATAAGCCAAAAGGGGCATCTTGGAGATTTTTTTTTTAATGAAATTCAGCCTCTTGCCCTGAAACAAACAAAAAAAATTCTCATTTTGCATTTAGTTACAGGTATTGGATGAACAACAGAAAGTTCTCCATTTTTAACTCCTGCCACTAAAAAATTTCATATTGTTTTGCCTCTCGCTTGGACTTATCTTTAGCTACGATTTCCCTTTCTTGCAACATCTGTATAGGAAGAAAATGAAATGGAGAGACAGAACTCTCTTAAGAAAACTGATTTTGAACAGTTGTCACTGTGGCCTTACTTATGCCCAGTCTAAAATGGTTATAAGTGTCTGGATAGCAGAAGTGAGTTTTGGAGTGTAGCAGTGTTGCCCTGGTGCCTGCTGGAAAGAGATGCTGGGAATTTTAGCTCTCTAGTCACTCACTGATGGTGATCGCAGGTTGTGGCATCAACATTTCTCAGGTGTTTTCTTCCCTTTGGGTGCAGATTTAAGGTTGCTGATAGAGCAGCTTAGATGGTTGATGTCTTTAAAATAAAACTCAACTCTAATGCAGAACAGTAGACACTCCTGGAAATTCATTATGTCCAGTTACAAATAGATAACCTTGATTTTAAAAATGACCTCTTATAAAAATTCACGTATCTTAATGTTGCAGTAAGCATTTCCATGAAGGGTTTGTCTTTCTTATTCTGGCCAGTAGCAAAAAAAGACTTTGAAATAGCTGATACATGATATATTCAGGTCTTATTCAAGTCACCTCTCAGAAGGATTTGGTATCTACTCTGGCATTGGTACCAGGCACAGTTCAGACTCCTTCTGTCAAGGGGTGGCAACCTCGCTCATGCACCATCAACAGACAGAAGTAGGTACAGGATTCAGAATGTCTCACATAGGTGGATGAATATTGCAGGCAGGTTTTATGCCCCTGTCCTCTAAGTATATAAAAGCTTTTCAACTTTTCTTTTTGCTTTTTTTCAGCTGAAAATACTTGGTATCAGTGAAATGGTTAACATTCTGTCTGCAAGAGTGCTATTTCTAACCTACACTTCTGCTGTTCTGACCTACAGTTCTGGTTTGGCATTATGCCCACATAAAAGAAATGGTTTGAATTTAACTATTCAGAAGTATTTCTGAATGTTTACTGTTACATAGATGTATTTAGTTTGCATGGTTTGAGTCGTATTGCCTTTAATCAGTAAACATTACAGTAGATGGTAGAAATTTCTCGATCTTGAAGTTGGTTTGCAATCTAGATGGAGAGAAAAAAGCTGTGGTTTCTATAGCAATAATTCATTTGTTAACCTGGAAGAACGTAGTAATCCTATAGATAACTGTTTCTCTTTATATAATTGCTATGATATGCAATATAAGCAAATGGTAACTGATGCTGTACAACATTGTAATTATTAATTTAATTTCCTCAAATTACTGCCCAAGAAAAAAATAGGAAAATAAGAAACAGATATTGTCTCTGCCTGATTGTAGGTGATCCCTGTTGGGCTTTGAAGCTCAGAATGCACTGAAGCAGGCAGGGCTGAAATTCATTCTGATGCTGGGTAGATTGCTTTCTGGTTAACAAGGCAGTAGCATATACATTTACATTTCACTGCCTGTCTTCCTGCCTTGAAGCTTAAAGTTTACAGAATGCAGAGACAACTGAAATTGAAATTGCTATTCTGGTTTCCTTCTGGAACGGCTTGTGACTTTTTTCTGTTATTTTTTAATAATGTAATGATAAGATTTTTTTGACACATATTGTACATCTTTCCTCCAAGACAGCTGCAGCCTTCCTTGTGCAAACTGCCTTACCAGCAATCCCGATGATTGCCAGGCTGGCAGGAAGAAAGTGGTGTGCGTAAAGCGTTGCAGGAAAAAGATTTTTCTCCCTTTTTTTTTTTTTTTGTCTCCACTAGAATCTCAGAATTCCATGAAGTATATGTAGATATGTAGACATTATTTCCTCTCCGCACCCCCCAATAAATTTACTTTAATTTCATGGCTTTCACCTGAATAAAAGAAAACCTTCATTTTACACTGTGGACTGCTTACCATAAAGTTCATAAGTGCTTGTCTCTTCGAGGCTTTAAGTTGTAAAGATAAAACTAAAGAATTTATAATAATAAATTATAGAAGTGACTCTAAAAGTGTTTCCAAATATGAGCTGAATTCAAGCATTGGAGCTTAGTCACAATATGAATACTGTCTGGAGCATCAAAACCAGAAAAGGTTGGAGAAAGAATTGTTCTGCAACCTTAGCTATAGTTGGGGTAAGGAAGATGAGTTAAACAAAAAACCCCCAAGCAAGCAAAAAAACTAAACCAAAAAACCTAGAGTTCCATGAACTGCCTCAGTCTTGTAAATAACAGGCCTTTTCTGTATTAGAACAATATGTTAAGTATATTTGTGTTTTGATTTTGAAGAGTCACACTTAAATTCTTTCTGTCATGGATTGAGGCTTTCCCTGACCTGCATTTTGGTTTTTCCTCCTGAGGTGTGCATGTCGGTTTCCTGAGTAAATTTTGTTTTCTGCATATTTCACCATTGTACGGGTGCAGGGCCAAATGGGAAGTGGTTTGCATTTAGTTCTTGCTGTTAGGCTTTTGTATAAATAAATTGTTACTTTGTGTATTTTATGTTTTCATTATGACTGCGTTTGTTTTCACAGCCTGAGGAAGAGCTTGATCCTGAAGAGAGGGACAACTTCCTCCAACAGCTTTACAAGTTTATGGAAGACAGAGGTAACACTGAATTATTACTATTTTTTTTTATTTATGTAATCTCATGTCCAATTTTTTTAATGGCTTTTAAAAATTGCTTTTAACTGTAATGGATGTTATTATGAGCATATTCTTATGTCAGTGAAAAAAAGATAACAGCTAATCTTGTGCAAGGAGAAACGCCCATTTTCACATGTGGAAGGTCTGCTTCCACTACTTTGAAGCACAGCACACAAAGGAAACTCAAATCCTCCCTGAGGTGTTTTGTTTTTGTTTTGCTTTCACAAAACCTTTTTTATGCTAACAATCCCTGTTAAATAAGCTCTTGGTTGATTTCTTGTTGTGACAGCCATGGCTGGGAACTCTGCTGCTGTTAATCTCAGGCTGGAACCTGAGGAGGCTATTCATGGATGGTGAAATTGAACCAGCAGAGAATGGGAGATGTGCCGTCTTCAAGTCTCCTTGCAGAACTGTCTTAATCATGCGCAGATGTAGCAGTGATACTCACCTGAAGAGACAACTTAAAAGATTCTACTTTGTCCTGTAGCTAGAACAAGAAAATAGCATATTTTAAATGTCTGTCTTTACAGAATTAGGTGAGACTGTAATAAATTGGAATAGTTAAAGTCCTGGCATAAAACATATATTGGAAGTGCATGTGCTATGTATAGATAGACAGCAGGATATACCTGCTGACTTGGGAGAACTGTTGTTGTATAAACCATTCACATTTGCAGTTGTGATGTGACTTGACACTAAAATGGAAGGTTTTCTGTCCCTCGGCTGCACATCCCTGCCCCCCCC